ATTCATACTTCGTACATTCCATGTTCCGATGATTAATGGATGTCTGTGGCTGAAGAGTCAATTTGAGTGGTACCACATCAGCCAATGGAGGTCTCAAAAGCTTTACCTTATCCATAAGTGTAAGGCTGGGTTTACTCAGATGATGCAGCTTTTTCCCAGTCCTATTTTGAGAGGCTTCTAATCTAACTGGACTATTCATAAAGTTGTGCAGTAATGTATCAAGCAGTGTTTCTTTGCTATTCATAAGGTTTTCCCTGGCCAATTCTTTGAGAAGTAGACGGCCTCTTCCTTCTTCCTGGTCTGTCTCAGTCTGTAAGCTGGGCTGATACCTGTGCACCATGTGCATCCTGCTGGGTTAGAAACACCAGTGGCTCAGCCTCAAAACTCACATCAACACGTCACCACGGTAGGACAAACCGACAGACAAGTTTGCCAAGTTTGCCTCCCTGTTGGAAACCTCTCGTACCACACTTACCTGGGTCCCTGCAGCTAACTCTTCCTCTGTCCAGATTCCTAGGCCTTTTAAACCCCTTTATCCCGGTCTCCCGCCCTGCTGCTTTGGGCATGCCTGAGTTCTCTTTTCTCACCTGGATCCCTGCAGCTTACTGGTCCTCTGTACAGTTCCTGGCTTTTAATCCCCTTTTTCCTGCTCTCCCTCACTGCTGCTTTGGGCGTGCCTGAGTTCCTCTCCTCACCTGGATCCCTGCGGCTGACTGCTCCTCTGTCCGGGTTCCTGGCTTTTAATCCCCTTTCTCCCACTCTCCCGCCCTGCTGCTTTGGTTGTTCCTGAGTTCTCTCTTCTCACCTGGATCCCTGCAGCTTACTGGTCCTCTGTACAGTTCCTGGCTTTTAATCCCTTTTTTCCTGCTCTCCCTCACTGCTGCTTTGGGCGTGCCTGAGTTCCTCTCCTCACCTGGATCCCTGCGGCTGTAGGGTTTTAGGGAATGCTAATTGAAGAAAAGAAGGGATGGAAACTTATTCCTATAACCAAATATTGTTATATTATTTGGGAGGTCGTTTAGTAGGATGCGTGGAGAGGCACTCTGTTGACACAGTGTTTAATGCATTTGGCTGCTAACCAAAAGGTTGGCAGTTGAAACCTACCAGCTGCTCTGCAGGAGAAAGATGAAGCAGTCTGCTTTCTCTAAAGATTTACAGTCTTAGAAACCCTATGGGGGCAATTCCACTCGGTCCTGTAGGGTCACTATGAGTCAGAATCGAGTTGATAGCAGTGGGTTTAGTTTGTTTTTTGGGTGGAGTAACCACTGTTGGTTTTTGAAGTGAGTAACAAAGTTAATGAATCACCTTGGGATGCTTGAGGACCTAGGCATCCCATCTTTTACTCCAACATGTTAGTAGCTCCCTGTTTCTTGCTTTCCTAGCTGAATCTTAAGGTTAAAACCATTGTTCTCAGGGTATAATCAATACAGTCAGTCGTCAATTCTTGTTATTCTTTGTTCTCCACATACTCTATAACCAGTGACCAGACTGTGGTGTATGCTTGAGGCATCCTGTGACAGGAGGGTATATAATCCGAGGTTGGTTGGGCACCAGGTCTTCAGCACCACCTCCTAGGCCCCACTAGGCCTTGGCATGCTGCACGTCCAGGCCCCTGCTCAGTCCTAAGATGATCGCTGTTTGTGCCTTGCCCAGATGAAGCAGCATCCTGTGAAACCTGCAATGGTGGGTAAGAGAATAACGAGTATCAGGAACCAGTAGGGGAGATGCAGTCACGTTCAGCAAGTCACATTGTTCTTACTTAAAGCTACGGTAAACAGCTGCGAATCCAGTACATCTCGACCTTTGCTTTGGAGGTGGCTGCCAGAGGATCCTATGTGTGGCTACATCTCTCAATACCCAATAATGCCCATGTCTCTTCAGTGCTTCCAGTTTTGTCTCACAGCTATGAGTAGTCTCACTTGCATAACTTTGCAAGTTGCCTACAGTTGCCTTTTCAGGAGCAGGGGGAGAAGTGAATGAATGAATGACAGGACTTGAGCAATATGATATTGAATAATAAGATAGTAAAAATGTTTGCTGACTCCTCTTGTATTTTTTTTAGTCTGTAATTATGTCTTGTTATATTTGAAATCTCTGATGATTTCTTTGCACATTATCTAATGATAGCAGCCGATTGTATTGAGTTCTTACTAAGTGTCAGGCACTGTGCTGAGTGCTTTGAGTGCTATCACAGTAATCCACAGTCTAGGTTTCGTCATCATCAGCTTGAACTCCACAGTGGCAGATCTCTCTTAAAAGTATCAACTCATTTTCATTTAGCAGCTGTTTGCACATGCAGTGAACGTTGCATGCGGAAAAAGTTGGGAGAGTTCCTCTCTGTGGCTTTGGTGCAGGGGGGTGTCAGAACCAGACTCATGCTTTCTTGACAAGGAGACAACTCTTAAGGTTTTAACCGAGAAAATCTTATACCTTGAGTTGCAGATTCTGTGAGGACATGGGAGAGGACCAAACAAGACATTTGAGCCTTCTTTTCTGTGCCTCTTTTAATGTTTTCTCCTGGAAAAAGGAAGCAAAGATTGTGGGAGGCATGATCCAGTCTTGCCCTTTCCCATCTAAATTCTGGGTGTCCTAAGAAAGCAAAACATGCACACTCTTCTAGAGCTGCTGTGTGAATTGGATCCCATAGCTTGCACTTGACACTGAACTTTGCCTGCCTCCTAAGCCATAGATGAATCATATTTTCAGTGGTTTCATTTGCTACATAGGAAAATGAGTTGCTGACTCAGTGAAGTAATGAATGATAAAATTTTACTTGAAATATATCAGAAATTATCAAAATTCATTGAATTAAAGGATTGAAGATTCTTGTGTTTATTATAATACATACTTGAAATCAATAACCACTGACGTTATTTTTTTTTGTCTCTTTCCATAAGTGATAATTACAGTTTACAAGTAGTTGGCGTATTTACATACATAAATACATGCATTGTATAAATAAATATAATCTTTAGTTTAGCTTGAACATTTCTAGAGTTATATAAATTATAGTTATTTTTTGTTGTAATGTACCGTATCCTGCTTCTTGGGTTATGGAAACCAGTTAAAATGTGAAATGAAAAGGGTAGTGAAAAATGCCTGTAAACACATTAAAGATTAAAACAGTAGCTGAGCCCAGTGAAAGGATGTGATCTTATGAATTAGTAATGAAAGTACATTTATGCTTTTGGTCTTATACTGGTGTCTGACTTTTAACAGCTGCTGGTAGTTTAAACTAACAGAAGCCTGAATAGCCTGTAATAATTGGAGTATTCATTCTGTTTATGGATTGTTTCTTAATAGAAACACTGAATAGGATCGTCTGTCTTAAATTACCTCAAGGGGTAGTTATAAAAATGAAATAAGATAAGGTAAGTAATTATGTTTTGTAGACGTGAAAGGTGCTGTCCCTCGCTCTCTGTATGTACATATGTGTATGATATAAAATTATGCATTAAGTTAATTTAGTAGTAGTTGGAAGAGTTCATTGAGATTCCATGATACAGTGTGTGATCATTTCAAATATATTGGACTGACACGGTCCAGTCTGCATTATAAACACTGTTTTCAGAGTATCTCAGTTAAATAGGAGGCTAAGTATTTCAGAAACAGTTGCTGCCATATAAGCTATTAATTCATTAATAATACATCATTTTATTTATTATTTAATCAGGTACAAACCCTGCAGGTAACATATAGCAACACTTTGTCTATTTGCGTGGTTTTACTCTTTTTACTTGAAAAAACACTACTTCATGAAAACTATGATAAAACTTTGATACTTTACAAGTTTTCTGGCCTTTTCTGCAGTTAGCCAGAAGGAAGGATGTTTTCCTGTCATCACAGATGATAATACTGTTTTCAAACTAGTCCAATTAATGAGCAAAAAGACAACAATCTTACTTTGTTTTTAAGCAAAGCACACATATTTTAGATAACTACTTTTAAATATTATGTCTGAAAGACAAAATTAAAAGTATGTAGCCATGTTACATTATTCATTATTAAAGTTACCTTAATAATAATCACACATGGATTTTTCCTTTCAATTGTGTAAGAGAAAGAATATATAATAGAGTATTTCTCAGGTAGCTGGCACCGTAGTAGAAACTTTGGTTACATATAAAAAATCTCCAAACCCCTGTCCTTGAGGAGCTTCTGCTGTTAAAGGTGGGAGAAGACACATTTGTAAGGTCAATAAGAAACCATGAAAGCAATATGTGACTAAATGGGAAGGAATCTAGTAATATTACCAGGTGAAAAGAGTGAAAATTCTCAGTGTAAGTTTCCTGGAAGAAGTATGCTTGCATTTTATGATGTTAGGAGAAACCAGAGTTAACTACCAACTGTGTACTAGGTTTTTCAACCAAGATCATGTTCACTCTCAGGTCTACTGGCCTGTTGCTCTAATGAAGAATCACCATCAGCCTTGTTGGAGCACAGTGCAATAAGTAAAACATACATCATCTTTCCCTTGTTTCCAGGCATACTTCCGACAGGGTGTTGCCCTCCAGTACCTCGGACGTCATGCCGATGCTCTGGCAGCCTTTGCATCCGGGCTGGCTCAGGACCCCAAGAGTCTCCAGCTTCTGGTGGGGATGGTAGAAGCCGCCATGAAATCTCCCATGAGAGGTAAATACAGTAAAAGCACATGGTCTGACATTAAAGTAGAACGTCTCCGTCTTCCTCGGGCACTGAGAATTAATGATCAGATTTTCTGAGATCTCATATTTAGACAAAGGAAGATCAAGAACCACTGTTGACAGCTGATGTTAATGGGGCAGAATAGGATGGTGGAAAGGACGTTGGAAGTTAGTGACCTAAAGTGTATTCTTGAATTTGGATTAAACAGTCCCCTCTGGAGTTTTGGGCAATTGAAATAATCTATAGTTTTTCTGGGAGCTCTGGTGGCGTAGTGCCTAAGGCACTTGACTGCTAACCAGCAGGCTGGCGGTTCAAGCCCATAAGCCACTCCTCAAAAGGAAGGTTGGGCAATCTGTTTCCGTAGTGATACCGCCTCGGAAACCCAAGGAGGGGTTGCTATGAGTTGGGTCCAACTCGACGGCAGTGAGTTTTGTTTGAGTTATATGTTTTTCTTAGTTCTAGGATTCAACAACTCTAAATTACAACACCCCCAACAGTAAATTGATTTGCCCAGGTGGACCAGTCTGCCTTCTAGAAATAACCAGGGAAGAGAAAACATAAAAGAACCAAAACCAGATGTGTTACTGTCTGATTTTGACCTCCAGCAACCTATGCATTTCAGAGCGGAACTGCTCCTGAGGTTTCTTGGTGGCGGTCTTCACAGAAGTGGGCCACCAGGCTGCCTTCTGTGGCACTGCTGGGTGGGTGTAAGCTGCCAGTCTGCAGGTTGGTAGCATCCTGCTTGTTCTGCCCAGGCACCTTCAGAGAAGACGTTACACGTTCTACCACTTCATGAAAAGATGTGGATCTGACCAACGTTTTTCAAAGGTGCATTAAAAGATTCTGTTGGATTAAAAGATAGGAGAAACAGATAAACAGACGCTCTTAGGTTTGTTCTTGCTATTACTTCTACTTCATATCGATTAGAATTCTGGGAAAACAGTACTGTGGAGGTTAAAAGATGTCCCAGGCCCAAAACAGATTAGCTTCAGTAAGCTCTCGGGCAGATTGGGCTGAAAGTGTATATCAGTTGTCATCTTTGGGGAGCGATACAGATACTAAGTCAGTTTCATGGCAGATAGTAGACATTTTATAATGTTTCATATGAGTTATGTTATATCAAGCAGAACCCTGTTTTATCTCTGAATTGGGAAGTTTTTGAAGTTTTCACAAAGGAGAAAAAGTCCTAAATTTTTTGATGGGCATATCATTAGACATTTTAGCTAGTTTTGAAAATGTTTGCAGCTGTTGTTTTAATATGGTGGCTAGTACTGTACTTGGCTCAAAATATGTCCTAAATAAAAGCTTGATGAACTAAACGTTACTCATATGGTCTCCGGACAATTCATAGCTATAAAAAAGTATTTTCCTGAAAGTTGGAGATTTCATGTTGGGGGGGGGGCAGTGGTGAGGAAACCTCTTCCGTGCGATTTTATAACCTGCACAAGGCCCAGTCTTGGCTGGAGGAATCTATGGCTCCTCCCCCTGGGGCCCTGCTGCTAATACACGCTGACTTGGCGCAGAGGCACTCTGGAGCTCCAGGGCTGGGAGGAGAATGGACAACATCAAAAAGAACCAATCTGTTTCTCCTTTCCATTTTTTCAGTCTTTTCTCATCCTCCCTACCTCCCTCTGCGAGGAGTTTACATGGACCATTTTTTATCTGGTTGATGAAGATACCACCTCTTTTTCGGAGGTGTTTCTGCTGCTGCCTTAGAATGTTGCAGGGAATGTGTTGGGATCAGAATCATGCTTACCGTTTTGCCTTTGAAGCAGTTTGTTCAGAGAAATGGGAGGAAATCTCCCCTTCACCTCGAGAAACGGCTCAGAGTTGCTATCACCCTTAGGGTTTTCTCTGCTGCCTCCTTTCCCCTCTTAAGGTCAGTGACCTTAGGCCAACCCTGCAGAAAGCAGCTTCATACAGGTGCCTGCAGCACTTCAGTATTTTCTTGTCCTCCCTTAAGGCAATTTAATTTATCTTATTTATTTTTAGCGTGCTTCTCCCACTTACATCCCTCCCAGGTGGGCTTCTCTTAGCAGCAGACTCTGTTGCTTAGCACGGGGTTGTTCTGTGCATCATCCTACATCTTATTGACCCCTCTTCCTGTCAGATGTTGTAATTCACAGAATCCCTCCTCACTTGCTGCCCATTTTGTACCGTTTCTTGGCGCCTCCTGCCGCCTTCTAAGTTTCTGCCATTGCTGCATGGCGGTGGTGTAGGGGTCACTTTCCGTTTGCTCCCCGGTCTGTTGTGTCATTTGGTTTTGTTCTGTGATACTGAGATGCAGTAGAGAAAACTCCCTGGTCTAGGTGCTTCTATAAGCAAACAAAGCTGCTGTAATGTGCACATTTGTTCCTGTGGTTTGGTCATTTTGGAAGTTGCAAGACATTTGTTTTTTTAAGGTGAGGCCAACCTGTATTATATATTATAACAGAAGGAAGGTTGGGCAATCTACTTCCATAGTGATACTGCCTGGAAAACCCAAGGAGGGGTCGCTATGAGTCGAGTCCAACTCGACAGCACATAACAAAAAATATATATTATTATATTATATGTTGTATATTATATATATTATAATATGCCATTGTTTCCTAGACATGTGTAGGGTTATCCACATTGAAACTCACTCGGATTTTGTTGTTGTTTCTACATTTCTAATGGAATTAGGACTGTTTAGCTTTATTTTTATACTTTTCACTCATCTCACAAACCAGGTATCGGTTAACGTATTTTCTCCTGTGGATAATTTACCTCATTATATAATATATTTTCCTTAAGTCCTTTATATTTTAATTAAAATATAAAAATAAGTAGAAGTACAAAAGGACACTATCTCTGTCCTGAGTTAGATGATTTATCCTTTCACTGTTCTCCCTATCTCTGTTTTAGATTGCCTTCAAGCAATTCCAGTTCCTTGTGTCTTATCAATGTTTAAGCAGATTTGGCCTCTGTAGCACGTGACCACTGCCAGCTGTGCATTTCACAATACAATTACAAACTGAGATTGAGTTTACTGAGTTTACTCTTATTTGTTCCTCTAAAGACGCCAGGACTGCTTCTTGCTTAGGGTTCTCTGGTATGTATTTTCGTTCAGTAATCTGAAGACTCTAAAGCTTATAGGCTATCACCTGTCTGGTGTTGCTACCAGTTGCAAAGAATCCGCGGAAGTGGATTTTATGAACGGCTGATGGAAAATGGCTGTTGGAAGGATGAACTTCTCTTTCAGGGTCTAGTGGGCTCACCTTTTATTTGCGTATTGTCCACCCTCCGTGAACTCTTTCTCTCTAATTCTCGTTTGGGGGGCAGTCCCAGGAGGCTAGTTGTTTTCTGCAGTGTTAGATTGAAACACAGGCTTTTGTTCCAAAGGACTGGCACCCAATTCCAGCTCTGCTCTTTGCTCTTCCAGTGACGGAGCAAGCAGGCTTCCCTCTATCTACACCCCTCTGTCTTTGTCCGTCAAAGAGAGATGGTCGTATGGGCCTCGTCACGTGACTGTGGGACTCTGGCACTGGAACAGGAAGGCAGACCCCTCGTGAGATGCCTTTGCCCCTGTGGCAGTGCAATGCCTGTGCTCACTGAGGAGGGGAGGTGGCCATGGTGCCACCTCGTCTTTAGGGCCGCGCGGAGCCGTGGCTGCAGGGCGGTGTACCGCACGCAGGCCCTCTCTCGCAGCACTCGCTGGGGAAGGTTCTGTCAGGCCTCACTGCCAGGAAAAGCTGTGTTTCTCCTGCCTGTTGGTGTAGTTTTGTCTAAAATGTCCTGGGAATATGGAAAGCAATCCTGGATCCTTTTGCTTTGTCTGCTGTGAAGCTTGGAGCCCAGTGTCCTTCCACCTCTAGGAAGTATGCAAGACCTTAGTCGGCCCGTTTGTGTGCTGCCTTGTCTGCGAGTTGAGTCTTGTTGTTAGACCATATTCTCCAGTCACTCTGCCTCCCGTCTTTTTCTGTACATGGGAGGAAGAGCTGTGTTTATCCCGAGTGTTGGTGTGTTTCTCCCTAACAGGTTCTGGGCATGTTGCGCGTGTTGTTTGGCCTACTACATGGTTCAACTTTAGATTAAGCTGACATGATGAGCCTGGTCTCCCCTCTGTTCTTTGGCAGCATACTTTGTCCCCCACCCCCACCCCTGTGCTGCCCTTTTGACCTTGTTTGAGAGCCACACGGGTCAGACGTTCCCTCCTGTCTTCGGCACCCTGTTTCCGAGATTGGGTCCAGGATTGTCTTTCCCAGTCTTCTGGATTTGCAGATCCAGACTGTATTTTAATGATATATCCCAGAGTAATTGGCACTGATATTACCCGTTTTTTAGAAAAGCTGAGTCCTTCTTGGTCACGAATGCTAGGGAGATGTGACAGAGATAACTTGGGAGGCCCCAGATGCTTCTGTAGTGCCTGAGACACATTGAAACAAACGAACAAAAACTCACTACCATCTAGGTGATTCTGGCTCATAGGACCCCTTTGGGTTTCCAAGGCAACAAAGCAGGTTGCCCCATCTTTCTTCCGCGGAGCAGCTGGTGGATTCGAGCTGCCGCCCTTCTGGTTAGCAGTTAGGTGCCTTAGGCACCATTCCACCAGAGCTCCATAATACAGATTAATGTCTATAAAATATTAATTACCTTGAAAGTGATTCATAGGAGACAGTCATCATAGTATCTTTTTTTGGACTAAAGTATTATTTCTATTAAATGCATTTATCCTCAAATCTTAAAAATTTTATATTCTAAATACATCTGAAATTGACATCTTTACCCTCTATCTCTTTTGTCATTGTCAGATACAAGACTTCACATTCTAACTGATTCCCTGGCTTTTGTCTCCTCCAAGCCAGTTCTTGCTTTATCTGTTCTCCTTCCAGAATGAGCTTTCTACAGTGAAAGTGATCTACCACTCTCTTAGCCATCATTCTTAATTTTCCCCCATTGCCTCAGGATAGAGGCCAGCCTCTGTTAGTGTATGAGGCCTTGCCTGCCTTTGGTTCTCATTTCCA